CCAATTTGCAGCTTGTTTACAAAAAGAAATCAGTAAAATGGCAGAATTTATTTCTATAATTTATACTGTGTGGTTTGTGTGTTCCTCTTTAGTTTCCTCTGCACCTTATCAAGATTTAAATGCGTACTGGCAGATGGTCCAGTATAAACGTTGGGTGGAATTTTATGATCAAAAAGCTAATGATGTACTAGAGGGAATTGAAAAAGTATTGAAATCAATGGAGAGACATACGTGGTATTTGGATCAAACTTTGTTTGGAGATGATGAGAAAGAAAAAGTTGTAAAAGTTCTTTTCTCGCAACCTGACCTACTCACTAAGAGAAGTTTGAAAATCCAATCCTTCTAAAAGATCTAGACTTCACCCTGGAAAAACCACCTAGCTTGTCACAGTTGCTTGGCAGGAACTCGCGGTTTATTTTCAATCTCTTAAACTTGAGCAAAGACAATGATAAACCTTGGCTGAACTGTAATTTATCTTTTTGGGGCTTTATCGACCAATTTAAAATCTTCATTGAATTTGAAAAAAAAAAAAAGTAAAATAGATGGAGGAGGGAAAGTAAAAAAAACAAACTCTGCGCCGCCTACCAATAACCTTCCTATGTTAGAAATTATTTTCCCTATAGGAGACCCTATGTTAAAAATTAATTTTAAAATTGAATATTGATTCAAATTAATCTTTGTAAACATGAATTTGACAAATTTTGTGACGGAAAGTTTGAGTGATAAAAAAATTGGTCAATAGATATATCCATAAAATCAACTAAAATTAGAACGTTAAAAAACTTGTAGGAAAAGTATGGCACGAATTCGTTTTTAAATCTTTTCTAATTTATTTAGAATAAATAGTTCGAAAAAGAAAGATTGTTTATGTTTGTTACACACGTGAGTTAAATTCGATCGTAAGCGTCATTCTATTTAAATATACTTAAAAATTATAATAAGTTAATGCGTTTTAAACTATTTTTCTTGATCTCAATTAGTATATAAATTTTTAATGTAAATCTCCCAACCAATTTCATATTATTATTAAGGCCTTTTAGAGTTCATAGAAAAAAATTTGGTGTTTTATGTCAATAATAAAGGTCCCCGCTTTTTGGAAAAAGAAGTTGGGGTTTTGAGGCACAAATTGTAAGATACGTGCGGTTTATAGATACGTGCGGTTTATAAAGTTATAGATAAAAAGTGATTAAAGTCAGAAAACAAAAAACCACTTTTTATCGTGGTTTCAGAGTATCTGTTAATAGCAAAAGGTTTTTTGTCCAATTTTTATTGAGAATTAATTTTGATGGACATACAATAAAATATCTTTGCATGTTGTCGTGAAAACTTCAATAAAAACATACTGCTCACTGATATTTTTGGCAGTCGACTGCCAAAATTATCAGTGAACATTATGATTTTTTTTTTCTTTCTTACTTTATAGTTCAACTACCTAATTTTTAAACAAAATCATATAGTTAAAAAATAAAACTGTTCTAAAATCTCCATAGCAAGATGCTTTCAAAACTATATAATGTTTTACAACTTTTATAACTTTTAAAGTTATGAAGCAAATAAGTTTAAATTGGAAAATATCAGAAAAATTTGAAACGGTAGGGTTTTAAAACTGATCTTTTTACAAAAAATGAGATAAAACTCCTACATTTTAGTAAAGATTGACTATTAAACTATGAAAAAGTATAAATATAATTTCAGTAATAAAATTAAAATTTGAACGAAACACATTTATGGTACGATTTTGTAGTACTATCTTCGACTGTGAGTTGTGGAGAAAAAATAGGGCAGGACTAGTCCAACAAGGTGCTTTAGAGAAGATTGATATCACATAAAGACGTGGTACCCATTAATAAAAGATACCATTTTCATGCAGTATGGTCCCCCTTGCCACAAGGCCATATCTGCCATAAAGCTTTTAGGTGACAATAAGGTGCGTGTTCTAGACGGGCAAGAAAATTCGCACTACATAAACCAAAAAGATATTTGTGGAACTTTATTATGAGTAAACTCATATTGGTAAAACTAACAACAAAGCAGCAGATAATTAAAGGAGTTATCAATGTGTGTCACAGGGATGAAAACATGACAGCTTGTTTTTAAAAACTAGTCTCAAGCATGCCATACCGTATTTTCAAACTCCTTAAAGTAAAAGGAGGTTGTACGCATTACTAATTCGTTTTAATGACAGGTACTAACCACAATTTTTGACAGTTTTTTTGCTAAACAGCTACCGCTTTTACACATTAATAAAAAGCTAGTGTAAATTTTCTTAACTTTTTACTGTAATGCTAACCTAAAGGTCAGGTCTGGGTATGATATATTAATAATGTTTTTTTATAACTATAAAAAAAAACGTTTTGATTACAGGTGTATAAAATTCATACTTCAATTTTTTTATTATCTCTTGAGATTAACTCTCACATTAATATCATAATATCAACTTGATACTTGCTGAAAATTTATTACAAAAAATAATGAACACTGCAATTATAATTATATTCTTGAATAAACTTATATAATAAAAAAAGTAGAGTTTTTTTTTATTAATTAAACTTATTCAGGAATATAATTATAATTGTAGTGTTCATTTTTTAATTTACATGCAGATTTTACATTAAAAAAAGTTACAAAATTTTACATTAAAAAATTTTACATTAAAAAAATTTACATATCATACAGATTTTTATAAATATCTGTATGTTAATTAATTTTTTAAACAAAAATTTTAATAAAAAACTAGCATTAAACATTCTCCAAAAATAGTTTGAAAATATTTTTTTAGAACATGCTGCAACTGCAAGCCTAATTAAAATAATATTTTGATTAGGCTTGCAGTTTCAGATTTTTTTTAACCTCTTTGCAGGAAGGTGTATCGTCAAGTACACAATTCCAATAAGTAAAAAACTTACTATTGTCCTATCACGTGATGTTTACTTTTTATACCACAATTCTTGGATCATGGCTTTACTTAGATAAACAAAACGCAAACATCAAGTTTTATAATAATTTGATACCTTGTATCAGATTATTATAACCTGATATTAGGTATGTAGGTTACTTTGTATTAGATATTTATCAACTTTGAAAAAACAAGCTACAAAACGCTTTTGTTTTTTAATGTACAACATGTGGATATTAAAGAATTTTAATGAGGAAAACACTGATATACGCCATTATATGTTTAAAAAATTTTCAATAGAAAGCATTTACATCTGTGAAATCAAAAATTTCTGTTAAAGAGATCCCAATAAGAGATCATAAACCTCCTAGAAATGTTGTGTTCATATTAAAGAGAATGATAAAAAAATAATGTTTTGGCTAAAATTTTTTAATAATGACAAAATAGGAAATGCATTCCAAAAATAGTATATATAAAAAAAAAAATGAATTGCAGATTTTTTTTAACCTCCTTGCAGGAAGGTGTGTCGTCAAGTACACACTTCCAATAAGTAAAAAACTTACTATTGTCCGATCAGTTTTAATTTATAAAATTAATGATCATACATGTTTATGATCATTAATTTTATAAATTATGATTGAAGTAACAATTTTTAAATGTAAAACTATGCGAATTATAGAGGTAACCTAGTGGTTGAACGAGCATCTTTTTTACTTATTTTTACTTTAAAACTTATCTATCATGATTTAACAAAGATTTTGCAAATAAACATATACTCTTTAACGAGTAAAAAAATTACTTATATTTTAACATATTAACATATTAAAAGATTAACTTTTTGATCAAGTACGCCATGATCCTCGCTTACTTAACGACATATTTTAATGTAGGCGTATAATTATTCCAGTCTACATGGCACTCAGTTTTGTTAGTCGCGTGAACTAGTCACGCTGGATGGTTTTTAGCCTAAAACTAAGATTGTGTTTTCCTTATTTAAAAAGAAAAGAAGTCAATTTTTTTTCCCGCTAGATTACTTATGAGCAATGTATGCTATATGTATGCTATGTGAAACTAAGGTAATAAACTAAAGTTGAATAGAAAAGTAAATAAACAAAACCTAATTAACACCACAATATCCGACTTTAATTAAACACGTAGGAGTGGTGACACTGTACTTCATTCACACCATAATTTAACATAACAATGTTGTATTAGGCTTATTTAAAGCATTAACATAACTTTTATTAGTATAACCAAATAATATAACATTGATCACTCAATTTTTACAGATGAAATAATATATTAAGAAATAAATCATGTTATGAATTTAACATGTTATATACTGACCCTAACCCGAATACGAATTAATAATGTTTATTATGTTACGAGTTGAAAATAGCACAAACAACTTTTTTTCTAAATTTTAAAGTCAAAAAGTTGTGATTGATTTTAAATCAGCGTTTTGAATTTCTTCCGAGAGATATAAACGATGAAAGAGCACGTCATCCACACATAAACGAATAAAACCCGATTTTTACAGCGACTAACCTTAAACCATCTGAGTACTAAGTTTAACATTTTATATTAAAGAAAAAAATGATAGCAATACAAGTTTTTCGAAGTTACATATTATTTTTTACAGCTTTTGACTTCTTTTCTTTTTTTTTGTAATTTCAAAAAAAACTTTAACTTTGGCGTAATAGGGTGCCGAAGTATGTATATGCCAAGATCGCCCAAATCCTAGCTAAAAATCTCTTAGTATCAGACTTACATCAAATCTATTTAAATTGTTAATTAAAAAATGCATATCAAATTTTAGTTAAAACAACGTCAGATCAATGATGTCATAGCCACTGTAATTGCATGTTGAAAAAGAAGTGTTATATTCAGAAGAATGGAAAGCCGTTAGAAAAAGATTAATTTGATGGGCCACTTTTCCAGTATACTACTTAAATGTGTTTAACTATGATTTTAATATCATGATGAGATTAAAAAAAAAGTTTTTTATTGTGTTTTTTAAAGTTAATCAGATTTAACGAATAATTTAAATATTGTGTTATACTGAAAACTCTACCTTGGGTTTAAAAAGTAGAGAAAAACGCAATCAAAAAATAAACATAATATTAAAAAACGCCGTAACTTTTACAAAAATACATTAATTAAAAATTCAGGTTGAATTTTTTTTTAAAGTTTGCTTCTTTTAGCTTTAAGGCTTTTGTGAATTGCGCCTCTTTTATTTTGTTGCTTTTTTTGGCTGGTCTTTTTTGTATTCGTTGATCTTTTAGAACTTTTCTTTGCATTCTTTGACACTGTTTTCTTTGAATTTTTCTTCTTACTTTCTTTTTTCAGTTTGTTTTCCTCTGTTATAAAGAAAATATTAAAATTGATTAGAAAGAAATAAAAAAAAGTGTCAATAATAATTTATAAAATAACAACTATTAGATAATAATAAATAAATAAAAACTCAGTACTTTGAAGATACAAAATAAAAAGCCTAAAACATTTTTACTTTAATATCTGACATAATATTTACGTGAAGTTTTTAAATAAAACAAGTCGCTATAGTAATTGAAAATCTAAACTAATAAAAAAAGTACTTTTTTTTTTCTTATCTTCATCATTGCAATCATCGTCTTCTTCATCGCATTCTTCTGTTTCTCCTCCATTTTCGCAATCATCATCATCTTCATCGCATTCTTCGGGGTCTCCTCCATCTTCGCAATCATCATCATCTTCATTGCATTCTTCTATATCTACTACGTCTTCGCAATCTTCATCATCGTCATCGCATATTTCCTCATCACCATCATCGCTACGTTTCTTTTTTTCAACTTTAGTTTCTATAGTTAAAAGTATTAAGATTAACAAAATTATATGACATTCTAATGAAAACGATAAAACTGCGTTAATGAAAGTTTTTGCTTTTAAATGTTTCTGCTTAATAAACAAAAATAAGATTTTATTAGTTAATTTCATAACAAATTTTTATCAACGTTTTTTTATATATTACTTTTATTCCTTATAACAAAAAATGTTACTATCATTTTTCAAAAACCATCTAATACTTTAATTGTGTTTTAAGAATATACATAATAACGGATGACATGGATTGTTTTAAGCAACTGATCAAAATATCTATTATTGTTCTAAATTTTTTTAGTTTGTTCCAAAAAAAAACAGACATGGTATTATGGTGAAGTACTTTAATGCCAAATCTTTTAACTAAATAGGTCAAAATTACAAAAAACCTTATCAGTGTATCCTGTTGTACATCGCAAAGAAATATTATTTGTTCCAGTTTATTTTAGTAAATTATTAACAAATTTGCTCATTGTTGCAGAAAATCTCTACTTAGGTAAAAAGCGAGTGTACTCAGTAACCTTAATTGGTATTAGTAAAAAAAATGTTTTTTGCTAATTCGCATAAGCACTTTACCTGCAACTTGTCTTTTGGCTGGTACATCGTGACTCTTAGGTATATTCTTTTCAATACTCATGCTGTACACACAAACCAACATCATTACTAGCACAATTATTAGCTTCATTTCTGCTTTGAATTACTTGTAATCCGAAAAAAACACAGTCTAATAAAAAGTAGATAATCTAGAAATTCATCGAACTATTTATGTTAATAAAATCTTTAAGTTAATGAAAACAGAAAACCTTCAAATTTCATACCTGAATCTTGGATGTAATTTAAATAGATGTGATGATGCTATGTAGAAATATGATGTTATTTATATGTTTTCGGTGTCTTTGAAGCAAGTAGGTCATTTTATAGATGTATTATACATAGGATATAAAAAAAGTATAACGCAGCAGTCAACTATTATGTCATTAGCGTTCAAATTCAATTTAAAGTTTTATCTTAATTTACTGCTTTTTAATTTTGTTATTCTCTTTTGTGCTTTGAAAAATATTTTTAAAAAGGATTTAGGCTTCTATTTACACTTAAACATTAAAGTATGCAGGGAAGCTTTTAGTGGATTAAAATAATAAAAATTGAAGCTTATAACTGACTAAATCCAGTTATGTATAACATTATTTTTATTATTTTGTTCAGAAAAATAGATAACTTTCTATTACTTCGCACCAGTTGGTAAATAACAAGTTGTTCGTGATTCTTAAACTAAAACTTAATTTCAATAGTTTGTATTATTTTCAAAACTGCATGTCAACTTTTTTGAAAATGTTTACTGTTTAAGAAATAGACTTCTAAAGGTTTTGTGTACTTTTTTACTAAACTACGAACAATAAATATTATATTTTATTGTTTTTTTAATGACCACTCTTTTAATTTCTTTTTATATAAAGAAAATATTTAAATTTTTGAAAAGAAAGAAAAAATGCCTAAATATTGCATTCTTGAAAAACTTTATCAAAACTTCAGAATCATCTTACAAATGTTTATTTAAAACATTTGTAAGATGATTCTAATTTGAAAAGATACATTCAAATTGAAAATGAAAATGATTTTAAAGTGAAGCTCAGAAAAGCGCGCTTAGTTCTACCGACTTAAGTTAAAACTTAAGTTATATTCATATAAATATATATATATATATATATATATATATATATATATATATATATATATATATATATGTATACATAAATATATATATATATATATATATATATATATATATATATATATATATATATATATATATTTATATATATGTATACATATATATATATATATATATATATATATATATATATATATATATATATATACATATATATATATGTATACATATATATATATATATATATATATATATATATATATATATATATATATATATATATATATATATATATATATATATATATATATATATATTTCTATAGTTAGCCTTAATATAATATATATATTTCTATAGTTAGCCCTAATATAATATTTGCTTGCTTTTTCTCTGCCATCAGTGTAAAAAAAAAAAGTTAACAAGGATTTGCGGTTTAATAATAAAAGCACCAACCGTAAACTTAATTTTTTATTCTTTTTAAATAAAAAAAAAACTTTTTAAAGAAAGTAAGGTGTATAAAAATTAAATAAGCTACGTTTCGGTAAAAAAAATTGTACAAGTTACAATTGTTTTCGATTTAATTTTATTTAACTTCGTAACACTACATTTGTAAAACCTTTTTAAGCTTTATTTAATACTTAACTTATTATGATCGTTAAAAATAAAGTTAATAAGAAATAAAGTCAGCAACAAAAGGTTACTTAATATATAAATTATATTATTATATATTAATGAATTAGGGTAGAGCACGCATATCAAGACAGTGGGGCAAAACGGGACAGCGATAGTAAAAAGTAAAACTAAAAGGATAAATCATTGAAAATGAGATAAGATGCAGTTTTAGCTACGAATAAAAAGGAACTTAGAACTTGAAATACTGCTGATCGAAGGGCATATTTAATTTTGTTATACATTGGCAAGATGTTAACAAACCAGCTCGTCAAAAGGTTTTTTGTTTATTTTAAAGTAAAAGTGTTTTAAATTTTAGATCAATTTCTTAATACTGATTGTTTAAAAGTATTTTATAATATAAAACAAAAACTTTTATTTATTTTAGTTGTTACTTTTTTTTCTCTGTGTTGTATGGGTGCATGGGCATGTAATTTGTATAAGTATGTTACTTTTTTGAGATTCAAATGTCAAATCATGTTATAATGATAAAATGCTTTAATTTTTTATTATTTTAAAGTTTTACAGTTAACGATAATCTTCTATTTTTAACTGTCTTGCTTTTTCTTATCAACCTGCCTCATCCACTTTGTCACCACTTTAAAGCCTTCTAGCTTATTCTTGTATTTACTGTTGGGTCACAGAAGATTCCTTTTTAAGGTAAAAATTTTTTTTTTTTGCGGTTATTATTGAAGGTCCAATGTCTGCACACTTGTTATTTAAATGACTGTTAAATGTTTTAGAAATAAGATTTAGGTCAACAGAAGATCAATCTTGCAGTGTCAGGATATTAGTAAAAGGTTTTTATTACAAGCAAATTTACACACTTAATAAAACCTGTTTAATATCAATTTGAGCACTTTTGATAAAAATTGTCTGTTTTGATAAAAATTGTCGGAAGTGTTGTTGACTTTTTATATGTAGGTGATTCTTTCCACAAGTACGAAACGGTTTTTTTTTCCTCAAATGGGATACTATCTAACAATCCATGATCAATGCACTTTTACCTAGTTCCATGGAGACCGTTTTCAGTCCACGTTGACGGCAGATTTTTTTGATTTGTAGACAATGAAAGGTAATATTCTACACCCATCAGCGACGCTATTTTAAATAACTAAAACATTCGGCTTTAAAATACAATAAAGAAATAAAACATATCACCAGAATAGATAACCAAAAAGAAAATCTATTTAGTATAAAAAAATGATTAGAGAATTTTTTTTTTTTTAATGGGGTTTCTATATGTACGGCTTTACGTTTTCATACTGCCCCAGACAGCCTCCCACTAGCAGCCCAATACTGGGTCAGTTCCGCTTGCGACTACGGCGCGATAACGGCTGTCGATAACGGCCTTACATTGAAACGGCCGTTTTTTTACTTGAGCGTTACTTTTTACTAATACATTAAGACTTTGTTATTAGCTGTTTCTGTACAAATGTATTATCCCGCATGAATCAAACAACCCAATCAGCAGTACATTATTGGGCCTGAGCTGGCCAACCAGGTCCGGCAAAACACATGTGATCCAGTTAAGGGCCGTAGCTGGCGAATCAGAACTGGCTAGCCATTGCCGCACCATAAACGTATCATTAATAGCTCGCCAAAGGTACAAAAATGCATCCCAATCAGCAGTAAATTAATGGGCCAGAGCTGGCGAGTCAGCTTTGGCTAAACGCGTGTTTTCCAATTAAGTGCCTTAGCTGACGTACCAGAACTGGTAAGCCATTGTTGGGCCATAAGTGTCCCTCAAATTTCACGTCAGCTTGGTACGGCATACCATAATGCATTGTGCAAAGTTTTTATGTGTATATGTAGTGTATTTCCTACTAGTTAGACTTTAGAAGTTCATAACTTTCATCAAAGGGGATTGTGTAATTTTGGTTTTAGTAATGAGCTATTGGACTCAAAGAAGAAAGATTCGGGAAGAAGTAAAAAATATTTCAACCGATATAAATCAAGGAGAACTCGTTATCAATGAAGCTGGTAACTCTGATTATTTACATGAGATTGGGTTTAATTTTTCTCAAGCTATTGACACTTTGCCTCAGACAGTTGTTCAAAGCAGTTGCGAAAAACGTGTATTAAACATATTAAGTAATGAAGCTTGCAACTCTACTGCTTTTAATGAAAATCTCAATCTTTCTTATTAAATTGATAATGAAAATAGCGAATTTGAAATTTCATCTGATAGTGATTCAGATATAAGCGAAGAACATAATGTAGTAAATGAACTGGAAGGTAATTTAGCTTTTTGGTATTCTTAACATAATATTACACAACAAGCATTCAGTGATCTAATTTGCATTGTGAGAAAGTTAGTTCCTGGTTTATGAAAATGTCCCAAAACAATAATACAAACAGAAATTGCAAAGCGTGAAGTGTATGAAGGCTCCTATTATTTTGGTATAAAGCAGGAGATACTTGATAAATTGCCCTCTGTGTTTAGTGATCATGAAAATGAAGTTTCAACAGTATCTTTTCAAGTCAATATTGATGGCTTGCCGTTGTTTAAAAGCTCTACTACACAGCTTTGGCCTATTCTTGGACTTATAGAAAAGTTTGAAAATAAACTTCAACGATAAAAAGAACCATTTGTTATTGGGTTATACTGTGGAAATAGTAAGCCACCGGATGTTAATAAATTTTTAGAAAATTTTGTGAAATAAGTAAAAGAACTTCAGCTTAATGGCATTATCAGTAACCATGTACATTACAAAGTAAAACTTTCTGCTCTGGTGTGTGACACCCCAGCTAGAGCTTTTGTTAAATGTATAAAAGGGGCATAGTGCTTAATATGGGTGTGATAAATGTGAACAGCGAGGTATCTATGTTGGGCGTGTCACTTTTCCAGAAACAGACGCAGTTCTTAGAAAAGATATTTCTTTTCAAAGAATGACAGATCATCATCATCATAATAGTGAAAGCCCACCTACTAATAATCAAGCCCACTTACTGATAAAGATCAAGATAAGATTTTTTTTTTTCTGTATCCAATTTATAAATGTATAAACTGGAAAATCAGTTTTTATAAAAAAATGTGTTACTGATTGCTTTTAATGACAGTATTTTTCTATTGCATTTAAACTTAATTAATAAGTTAAAAATTCGCAGAAAAATACACCTAATAAAAATCTTTTCATATGCAGTCTACAACAGAGAGTTTTCTTAAATCAGTTTTTCTCAAAACCTAAATTAGTGGACATTTAACTTGTAATATCCTGATTTATAGTCATGGAGTTAAACTACCATAATCAAGTGTTTGTTGGCAAACTCATATTTACTGTTTTTAACTTAAATAAAATATTATTACCTTTTAACGGTAATACGTTTTATAGACTGTAAACCGATAAGATGTTTGGGTTTTATCAAAACGATTAGTTTAACATAAAAACAAATTAATTTGATAGTCAAACATTTATAATAAAGCACGTTTTTGAATGTTGCAACATTTTTTGGTTTAAATAGACCGTTAACAAAAAAAAAAGTTAGATTAGATAACATTATCTTTTTAGCTTTACAAATTTAACTAAATGAAAAAAACAAACTGTTGGATTCTTTTAGTTTTGATATCGTTTAATTATTTTTCACGCACATTTCTTTTTATTTCTACAATAAATGGCAAATTTAAAAGAGTTTAAATACGTTGAATTTTTAAACATGTTTTTTAAATAATTAGGAATTAGTAGAACTTAGATTGATTTTTTTTGAGTAAGTTTTTTTTATTAAAAGAATATGTCTGGAATGCAAAGCTATGAGTACTTAAAGTAGCATAATACCAATGTTTGCTTGAACAATCTTAAAAAGTTTTTGCACTGTTGTAACATTTACATTAGCCACTGGTGTAACATTTTTGCCACTGTTGTAACATTTTTGGCTTTTTTTTGCAGGATTTTTAGCGTTTTGGAATTGAAATTGCTTTAAGAGAGCTCTTTTAAGACTAATTTTTATACGAGTCACTAATTCTTATTGAGAAGTTAAATTTAATGTTGAAATTGAAGTTTGAGTTGCAGGCGAAATTAAGTTGATTTTAGTATGCGGTAGAATTAAGATGTCCCTCTTAAGCTTAACTCGCCCATTTCAATTTTATTCAATGCGTTTATAATTGTCTCCTCAGTATGAGGGTTCTCGTTTGTTTAGTTTTTTTGCTATACTTAAGTTTAGTAAATTCAATTCAGTTACAGATTCTTGAAATTGAAGAAACGATGCAATTTTGTGGTTACTTTGTGAAATTTTGCATTTTACCTTTAACAGTATAAGAACAAAAGGACAAAATTAATTAACACAAAAGAGGAAACTTAAAAAAAACAAATAAAAAACATTCAGTCTGTGTAAAAAAATGATAAAACAAATTAACTTTAACATGATAAAAAAATAATTTTTATTTTTATTTTTTAAAGTAAATAGATTATGAAACAAGGCATGAGATTTGTTGGTTTTAAGTTTGTACACAAAACAAACTGTATCAAAAATATTCAGCTGATAAATAATAGAATTTTTCATTTGAAATAATGATGGTTTGGAACGAGCAAATCGATCTTTACAATTAATAAAACAAGCAAAATGCTTCTGCTGACGATAAAGTAGTAGCAGTTTAGATTTATTACCCCAGGAAATATATGCATAATTTATACGGCAGCAGATCAAAGAATAATATAATTAGGTTAAACTGTATTTATTTAAAGAATTTCTAGCTTTTTACATTACTCCTATATTTTGGGCAACTTTGTTGCATAACAAATCAACGTGATACTTCAAACTAGTGTTTTCATCAACATTATATCCTTAAATATTAGAAATTAGTTCTCTTTTTATATGAATTTATTTCTATAAAAAGTAAGGGCATGACAGAAGGAAGTAGTTTTTTTTTCGAAGTATGATAAAAAAGTATCCATTTAGTATGTCAACATGTAGTGAAAACTTATTCATTTTTAAAATGTCACAATCTTTTTTTTATTAAAAGTTTATATTTTGAAATGATGTTATTATGTTTTTTTGATATAAAAAGAAATTAGTTTCATTGGCAAACATATTCGTCATTAAATTTGAGGCTTTAGGGAGTTCACTAATGTATATTAGAAAGAGAAGAGGTCATGTATAAAACTTTGCGTGACCCCACATGTTATGTCTAATAAGTTAGCATAAAAAAGTTGCATTAATGTAAACAAACTGTTTAAAGTTGCTTTAACAATTTTTAAGTATTATTAAAACATTTTTTTCAATTCCATAACATTCTATTTTTTTAAATTGATTTTGTTGTCATTGGTATCAAAGGCTTTTAATAAATCAATAAAAAGACCAATGTATATTGATATTTTTTAAAAGATTCAGTAATAATGCGGGAAATTTAGAGTATATCGTTATTGGTTAAATGACTTTTAATAAATCCCTTCTTAGTTTGATGCAATATATTATTTGAATATCAACAACTAAAAACTAAATGCACATAAAATTAATCTTAAAATCTATTAAACTATTGTCTATTTTCAATTTTGGTTAGGTTTAACTTTTTGTATTAAATAACTTTAATTTATACCTTGCCTCTAGCAACATCACAACTTTAGCTAGCGTTGTCCCAACGTTAGCTAAAAGGTTTTAACTTAAGTCGGTAGAACTAAGCGCGCTTTTCTGAGCTTCACTTTAAAACCATTTTCATTTTCAATTTGAATGTATCTTTTAGGCACTTTTTAGAAATTACAAACGTTTCTCAAAATCACTTAATAAATAAACATTTGTAAGATGATTCTGAAGTTTTGATAAAGTTTTTCAAGAATGCAATATTTAGGCATTTTTTCTTTCTTTTCAAAAATTTAAATATTTTCTTTATATAAAAAGAAATTAAAAGAGTGGTCATTAAAAAAACAATAAAATATAATATTTATTGTTCGTAGTTTAGTAAAAAAGTACACAAAACCTTTAGAAGTCTATTTCTTAAACAGTAAACATTTTCAAAAAAGTTGACATGCAGTTTTGAAAATAATACAAACTATTGAAATTAAGTTTTAGTTTAAGAATCACGAACAACTTGTTATTTACCAACTGGTGCGAAGTAATAGAAAGTTATCTATTTTTCTGAACAAAATAATAAAAATAATGTTATACATAACTGGATTTAGTCAGTTATAAGCTTCAATTTTTATTATTTTAATCCACTAAAAGCTTCCCTGCATACTTTAATGTTTAAGTGTAAATAGAAGCCTAAATCCTTTTTAAAAATATTTTTCAAAGCACAAAAGAGAATAACAAAATTAAAAAGCAGTAAATTAAGATAAAACTTTAAATTGAATTTGAACGCTAATGACATAATAGTTGACTGCTGCGTTATACTTTTTTTATATCCTATGTATAATACATCTATAAAATGACCTACTTGCTTCAAAGACACCGAAAACATATAAATAACATCATATTTCTACATAGCATCATCACATCTATTTAAATTACATCCAAGATTCAGGTATGAAATTTGAAGGTTTTCTGTTTTCATTAACTTAAAGATTTTATTAACATAAATAGTTCGATGAATTTCTAGATTATCTACTTTTTATTAGACTGTGTTTTTTTCGGATTACAAGTAATTCAAAGCAGAAATGAAGCTAATAATTGTGCTAGTAATGATGTTGGTTTGTGTGTACAGCATGAGTATTGAAAAGAATATACCTAAGAGTCACGATGTACCAGCCAAAAGACAAGTTGCAGGTAAAGTGCTTATGCGAATTAGCAAAAAACATTTTTTTTACTAATACCAATTAAGGTTACTGAGTACACTCGCTTTTTACCTAAGTAGAGATTTTCTGCAACAATGAGCAAATTTGTTAATAATTTACTAAAATAAACTGGAACAAATAATATTTCTTTGCGATGTACAACAGGATACACTGATAAGGTTTTTTGTAATTTTGACCTATTTAGTTAAAAGATTTGGCATTAAAGTACTTCACCATAATACCATGTCTGTTTTTTTTTGGAACAAACTAAAAAAATTTAGAACAATAATAGATATTTTGATCAGTTGCTTAAAACAATCCATGTCATCCGTTATTATGTATATTCTTAAAACACAATTAAAGTATTAGATGGTTTTTGAAAAATGATAGTAACATTTTTTGTTATAAGGAATAAAAGTAATATATAAAAAAACGTTGATAAAAATTTGTTATGAAATTAACTAATAAAATCTTATTTTTGTTTATTAAGCAGAAACATTTAAAAGCAAAAACTTTCATTAACGCAGTTTTATCGTTTTCATTAGAATGTCATATAATTTTGTTAATCTTAATACTTTTAACTATAGAAACTAAAGTTGAAAAAAAGAAACGTAGCGATGATGGTGATGAGGAAATATGCGATGACGATGATGAAGATTGCGAAGACGTAGTAGATATAGAAGAATGCAATGAAGATGATGATGATTGCGAAGATGGAGGAGACCCCGAAGAATGCGATGAAGATGATGATGATTGCGAAAATGGAGGAGAAACAGAAGAATGCGATGAAGAAGACGATGATTGCAATGATGAAGATAAGAAAAAAAAAAGTACTTTTTTTATTAGTTTAGATTTTCAATTACTATAGCGACTTGTTTTATTTAAAAACTTCACGTAAATATTATGTCAGATATTAAAGTAAAAATGTTTTAGGCTTTTTATTTTGTATCTTCAAAGTACTGAGTTTTTATTTATTTATTATTATCTAATAGTTGTTATTTTATAAATTATTATTGACACTTTTTTTTATTTCTTTCTAATCAATTTTAATATTTTCTTTATAACAGAGGAAAACAAACTGAAAAAAGAAAGTAAGAAGAAAAATTCAAAGAAAACAGTGTCAAAGAATGCAAAGAAAAGTTCTAAAAGATCAACGAATACAAAAAAGACCAGCCAAAAAAAGCAACAAAATAAAAGAGGCGCAATTCACAAAAGCCTTAAAGCTAAAAGAAGCAAACTTTAAAAAAAAATTCAACCTGAATTTTTAATTAATGTATTTTTGTAAAAGTTACGGCGTTTTTTAATATTATGTTTATTTTTTGATTGCGTTTTTCTCTACTTTTTAAACCCAAGGTAGAGTTTTCAGTATAACACAATATTTAAATTATTCGTTAAATCTGATTAACTTTAAAAAACACAATAAAAAACTTTTTTTTTAATCTCATCATGATATTAAAATCATAGTTAAACACATTTAAGTAGTATACTGGAAAAGTGGCCCATCAAATTAATCTTTTTCTAACGGCTTTCCATTCTTCTGAATATAACACTTCTTTTTCAACATGCAATTACAGTGGCTATGACATCATTGATCTGACGTTGTTTTAACTAAAATTTGATATGCATTTTTTAATTAACAATTTAAATAGATTTGATGTAAGTCTGATACTAAGAGATTTTTAGCTAGGATTTGGGCGATCTTGGCATATACATACTTCGGCACCCTATTACGCCAAAGTTAAAGTTTTTTTTGAAATTACAAAAAAAAAGAAAAGAAGTCAAAAGCTGTAAAAAATAATATGTAACTTCGAAAAACTTGTATTGCTATCATTTTTTTCTTTAATATAAAATGTTAAACTTAGTACTCAGATGGTTTAAGGTTAGTCGCTGTAAAAATCGGGTTTTATTCGTTTATGTGTGGATGACGTGCTCTTTCATCGTTTATATCTCTCGGAAGAAATTCAAAACGCTGATTTAAAATCAATCACAACTTTTTGACTTTAAAATTTAGAAAAAAAGTTGTTTGTGCTATTTTCAACTCGTAACATAATAAACATTATTAATTCGTATTCGGGTTAGGGTCAGTATATAACATGTTAAATTCATAACATGATTTATTTCTTAATATATTATTTCATCTGTAAAAATTGAGTGATCAATGTTATATTATTTGGTTATACTAATAAAAGTTATGTTAATGCTTTAAATAAGCCTAATACAACATTGTTATGTTAAATTATGGTGTGAATGAAGTACAGTGTCACCACTCCTACGTGTTTAATTAAAGTCGGATATTGTGGTGTTAATTAGGTTTTGTTTATTTACTTTTCTATTCAACTTTAGTTTATTACCTTAGTTTCACATAGCATACATATAGCATACATTGCTCATAAGTAATCTAGCGGGAAAAAAAATTGACTTCTTTTCTTTTTAAATAAGGAAAACACAATCTTAGTTTTAGGCTAAAAACCATCCAGCGTGACTAGTTCACGCGACTAACAAAACTGAGTGCCATGTAGACTGGAATAATTATACGTCTACATTAAAATATGTCGTTAAGTAAGCGAGGATCATGGCGTACTTGATCAAAAAGTTAATCTTTTAATATGTTAATATGTTAAAATATAAGTAATTTTTTTACTCGTTAAAGAGTATATGTTTATTTGCAAAATCTTTGTTAAATCATGATAGATAAGTTTTAAAGTAAAAATAAGTAAAAAAGATGCTCGTTCAACCACTAGGTTACCTCTATAATTCGCATAGTTTTACATTTAAAAATTGTTACTTCAATCATAATTTATAAAATTAATGATCATAAACATGTATGATCATTAATTTTATAAATTAAAACTGATCGGACAATAGTAAGTTTTTTACTTATTGGAAGTGTGTACTTGACGACACACCTTCCTGCAAGGAGGTTAAAAAAAATCTGCAATTCATTTTTTTTTTATATATACTATTTTTGGAATGCATTTCCTATTTTGTCATTATTAAAAAATTTTAGCCAAAACATTATTTTTTTATCATTCTCTTTAATATGAACACGACATTTCTAGGAGGTTTATGATCTCTTATTGGGATCTCTTTAACAGAAATTTTTGATTTCACAGATGTAAATGCTTTCTATTGAAAATTTTTTAAACATATAATGGCGTATATCAGTGTTTTCCTCATTAAAATTCTTTAATATCCACATGTTGTACATTAAAAAACAATAGCGTTTTGTAGCTTGTTTTTTCAAAGTTGATAAATATCTAATACAAAGTAACCTACATACCTAATATCAGGTTATAATAATCTGATACAAGGTATCAAATTATTATAAAACTTGATGTTTGCGTTTTGTTTATCTAAGTAAAGCCATGATCCAAGAATTGTGGTAATAAAAAGTAAACATCACGTGATAGGACAATAGTAAGTTTTTTACTTATTGGAATTGTGTACTTGACGATACACCTTCCTGCAAAGAGGTTAAAAAAAATCTGAAACTGCAAGCCTAATCAAAATATTATTTTAATTAGGCTTGCAGTTGCAGCATGTTCTAAAAAAATATTTTCAAACTATTTTTGGAGAATGTTTAATGCTAGTTTTTTATTAAAATTTTTGTTTAAAAAATTAATTAACATACAGATATTTATAAAAATCTATATGATATGTAAATTTTTTTAATGTAAAATTTTTTAATGTAAAATTTTGTAACTTTTTTTAATGTAAAATCTGCATGTAAATTAAAAAATGAACACTACAATTATAATTATATTCCTGAATAAGTTTAATTAATAAAAAAAAACTCTACTTTTTTTATTATATAAGTTTATTCAAGAATATAATTATAATTGCAGTGTTCATTATTTTTTGTAATAAATTTTCAGCAAGTATCAAGTTGATATTATGATATTAATGTGAGAGTTAATCTCAAGAGATAATAAAAAAATTGAAGTATGAATTTTATACACCTGTAATCAAAACGTTTTTTTTTATAGTTATAAAAAAACATTATTAATATATCATACCCAGACCTGACCTTTAGGTTAGCATTACAGTAAAAAGTTAAGAAAATTTACACTAGCTTTTTATTAATGTGTAAAAGCGGTAGCTGTTTAGCAAAAAAACTGTCAAAAATTGTGGTTAGTACCTGTCATTAAAACGAATTAGTAATGCGTACAACCTCCTTTTACTTTAGGGAGTTTGAAAATACGGTATGGCATGCTTGAGACTAGTTTTTAAAAACAAGCTGTCATGTTTTCATCCCTGTGACACACATTGATAACTCCTTTAATTATCTGCTGCTTTGTTGTTAGTTTTACCAATATGAGTTTACTCATAATAAAGTTCCACAAATATCTTTTTGGTTTATGTAGTGCGAATTTTCTTGCCCGTCTAGAACACGCACGTTATTGTCACCTAAAAGCTTTATGGCAGATATGGCCTTGTGGCAAGGGGGACCATACTGCATGAAAATGGTATCTTTTATTAATGGGTACCACGTCTTTATGTGATATCAATCTTCTCTAAAGCACCTTGTTGGACTAGTCCTGCCCTATTTTTTCTCCACAACTCACAGTCGAAGATAGTACTACAAAATCGTACCATAAATGTGTTTCGTTCAAATTTTAATTTTATTACTGAAATTATATTTATACTTTTTCATAGTTTAATAGTCAATCTTTACTAAAATGTAGGAGTTTTATCTCATTTTTTGTAAAAAGATCAGTTTTAAAGCCCTACCGTTTCAAATTTTTCTGATATTTTCCAATTTAAACTTATTTGCTTCATAACTTTAAAAGTTATAAAAGTTGTAAAGCATTATATAGTTTTGAAAGCATCTTGCTATGGAGATTTTAGAACAGTTTTATTTTTTAATTATATGATTTTGTTTAAAAATTAGGTAGTTGAACTATAAAGTAAGAAAGAAAAAAAAAAATCATAATGTTCACTGATAATTTTGGCAGTCAGCGACGCTACAGACGCTTTATTTTTATAAATAATTAGTAGCTTTGGTGTCTATAAAAATGATTTATTAAAAATCAGGTGCAGATACGTGCGGTTTATAAAGTTATAGATAAAAAGTGATTAAAGTCAGAAAACAAAAAACCGCTTTTTTTCGTGGTTTCAGACTATCTGTTAATAGCAAAAGGTTTCTTGTCCAATTTTTATTGAGAATTAATTTTGATGGACATACAATTAAATATCTTTGCATGTTGTGGTGAAAACTTTATCAGTTACTTTTGAACACTGTGTCATTTAAAAAATTTTATATAAAGAGTTTAAATATTTATATAACTGCAACAAATTCACACTAAAAACTAAATACTTTTTAAAATGACAGCTTTTAAGCGTTCAAAACGCCGACTGTTACTTTCCTTTATTGAAAGAGGAAGAACAACTAATACACTATCATCAATTTAAAAAAAAAATTATCAAGTTTTTCAGGATAGCTTGTGTTTGATTGTTAGTGATATTCAAAGGAACGTTATTCCGTCGTTTAATAAACAATGGACAGAGGCGTCACGGAAAGTGGAAGCGTTTTAATATAACAACAGTAATTGGTTAGATTCAGAATATAGTGTATTTTTACTAAAATTGAAAAACGCAATAACAGACCCCACGCCATTTACATCTTTTGAAAAACGTGGAAGACCGTGCTTGAGATTTGTCAGAGACCAGTAAAAAAAGAAAAAATTCCACATTAGTTATGGAAATTGGATTTGAGCATATCTTTAATGCATATCTTCAGACATTGCATTCAATAGGAGAAGAAACAGAAGGAAAGATTGTTGAATCATTAAGGATTGCCATAAAAGAAAAAAAGGTCTCTGCCTCAAGT